ATATATATATATAGATGCAATTAAATCTATATACAAAAGGTAAAGAAAGGAGTTTGTGAATAAAGGTCCAGGGTAAGAGTTGGGGAAGCCAGGATGATGGAAGAGACAGAATGGAATAAGGACAGGAGGACCACACAGGCTTAGACTGTGTTTTGGTTGGCAAATCCATGTTGTTGTTCCTTATATTATTAACCCTCATATGGGCCAATGACTCAAATGTGACAGAAATTTGAGAATTTTGATTAGCATAATTTTGAATAGCCTAAGTTAATATGTTTTTTAATAAAATTTTACTACACCAACTGAAACTTAAATTTGTGGCCCCCAGATGGATTTGCCCCTCAAATCTTTTTAAGCCATATATATAGTCTCCTTGCTTGTCTCAAAATGAGTGTGTGTGTGTGTTTGTGTGTGTGTTTGTGTGTGTTTAACCAAGTAGTCCACATGCATATACTGAGAAAATCTTCAGAAAAGAACATCCTGATTTGCAGAGATTTTCTTCCAGTATCTGGCTTGACTTTTCATTCTCTTAACAGTGTCAATCATTCAAATATGTATATTCATATTCATATACATTTTCTTTTGTAAGTCATGCTTTTGTTGTTTTTTAAGAAATCATTGTATAACCTAAGGTCAAAGATTTTTTTCCTTTATTCTAGAAGTTTTATAGTTCTGTGCTTTATATCTAGGTCTATAACTGACCTACTATGAGTTTATTTTTATATATAGTGTGAGGAAAAGATCAAAGTTGGTATTTTTTCTTTTACTTTTTGCGTATAAATATTTATTTTTTTCTAGTTCTGTTTATTGAAAAGAAAAACTTTCAAGCTCAGAAAATTTTTTTTCTAGTTTCTTCAGATATTTTTTGACCCCTCTATTTCTCTTTTTTCTATTCATTTACATAGCAGGCTACTTGAAGTTCTCTCATAATTCACTAATGTGCTATTCATCGAGTCTTTTTTCCTCCATATTTTCCATATGGATAGTTTCTATTGCTGTATCTTTGGTTTACTATTTTTTTCTTCTGCATTTGCTATTAATCACAACTGACTTTTTAATCATAGAAAAATTAGTTTCTATTTCTTTAGGTTCAAATTGTATGTGTGTGTTTGTGTGTGTGTGTGTGTGTGTGTGTGTGTGTGTATCATGTATACACTTAACATGCCCACTCTTGAACATCTGAACACAAAATGTAAAATTAAAATAATGATCACACTGGCCTCATCTATTTATTGGTTCTATTATTTTCATCTTTTCTGGGCTACTCTTAATTGGCTTTTCTCTTCCTTCTAGGTTATATTTTCCTGATCACTTTCAATTGACTGTCAGGCATCATGAATTTTAGTTTGTTGGGTGGTGGATATTTTTGTATTAGGAATATTTTTAAGTTTTGTTCTTTGATGCAGTTACATGGAAGTACTCTGATCCTTTGAAATCTTGCTTCTTAAGCTTTGGTAGATGCAACCAGAGCAGGGGAAGTCTAGGGCATTGCCCTTCTAAGTACTCTACCCAGTGTCTCATGAATCGAGATTTTTTTTTCCCCCACCAACCTGGTGAGAATGGATGCTATTCTTGACCTTATATGACCTCCTGATATTTGACATTTTCAAGTGCCCCATCAGTTAGGAAGGAGCAGCTGAGTACTTTCCTTATATGCATGTACTAAACAGGGGACAGCTAAAAACTGGAGGGAGTCCCTGTGCTTCTTAAGTCTTCCCTCTCTGTAGCTTTCCTCACTGATACTCTTTTCAGTACTCTGTTGCCTTCTCAATCTTCCTGATTTTCCAGCTCATCTCCTCAACTTGGAGATCACCAGACTCCAGCAGGAGTCTTCTCGCCTGAGTTGCATCCAGGGACCTTTCCCTGTGCAATTAACTGGGGCAGATGTGCAGTTCATGATTTTGTTTGATGACATCTTGTAGAGATCACTGTCTTTCTTGCCTGATCTCTGATGTCTTGAGAAACATTGTTTCATATATTCTATCCAGTTTGCTAGATGTTTCAGAAAATTTAAATTTTTGATTAAGTGAATCTTTCTCATGGTTCAGAAATCAAAAAAATCTAAGTAGGTATTTATTCAGTTGCCTCCCTGTGAATCCTTTCTGCTATCAGTCTAATACCCATCATCCCAATAAGAAACTGTGCTATTAGTTTTATCTTTCTGTAGTTTCTTTATTCATATGCAAGTAAATAAAAATTGTATACTCTTACTCCCCTTCCATTTCCTTTTTCATGAAAGGTTTTCATGATATGCATGCTATTTTAAATCTTCTCTCTTTTTTTTTTTTCACTTAAGCATGCATCTTAGATCTTTCCTCTTCATACCCAAACTGCCTCCCCTCACCACCCTCTTTCACTCACAAATGCTTTTTTTTTTAACTGCTACAATAGTGTTATATAACATAGGCTTATCATCAGTTGTTTAACCAATTCCCTATTGTTAAATAGTTAGGTTGCTTCTAATCTTTTGCTGTTTGGAATAACTTAGTAGTAGTCTTGTACATAAATCATTTTGCATGTATTTGATTAATAGAACTATTGAATCCATTCTCAGAAGTAGATTACTAGGTCAGAGGGTTTATGCATTTGTAATTTTCATAGTTTTTCCCGAATTGTCCTCCCAAGGGGCTGAACCATCTTCCACAAGTCTATTAGGGATATGGACTAATAGGTGTTTTTCCTATCTATAGAATATAACGAACATTTGGATTTATACTAGTAAAATAGGAATAAAATGTTGCAGTTTCAATTTGTATTCTGAGGTTGATCATCTGTGTTTAAAAGTGAAAGGAAAGTAATTTTACTCTTCTAATTTTTGTTCATTCAGTTCTTATTTGTAAAAAAATAAGAATGTGAAATTGAAATGCTTTAGTTGATGGTGTTTAGTAACTTCTTTATAAAGAACAGTTAGGGGCCGGGGTTGTGGCTCAGTTAGTAGGCAGAGCGCTTGCCTAGCATGCATGAGGCACTGAGTTTGATCCCCAGCACCACATAAAAATAGGAAAATAAAATAAAGGTATCGTGTCCAACTACAACTAAAAAATAAATATTTTTTAAAAAAAGAACAGTTAACATTCATAGCCTATTAGTGAAACACTTCAAGATTCAATTAATAAATAATTACATTAAATATAGTAAATTCTCCAATGATTTTAAAGTTATTATAGAATATCTATATCAAAGCTGGATTAATTGATTTTTCAGGCAGATTTTACCTAAGTAAAACTAGGTTTAATCTGAATTTGAGCATAAGGGAATGATCCAAAATTAGTTGGATAGATGAAAACATAATTGTTCCTTCTAGAAATTTTTATATTTGAGAAATGTAATTTGTTTTCCACAAATAATTATATTTCCAGAATAATTTTAAGGAAAGTAGGGGAATGCATATTTAAAATTTGGATTAAATTTGTAACTTTATGGTTACAAAATATGTTCCCACACATAAGAAGGACAAACATGGTTAGATAATAGGACATGGTTCTTCATCAAGCTCCCCTTTTATTAGAAATGAAGAACATGCAGGTATTTTATAACTATGTATACCATTTCCTTTTCTCTGCCTCATCTTAAGTACCTCTAACTTATTGCTTATAATTTGTGGGCAATTAATTAGAGAGGTAGTTTCTTTACCAAGTGAAACAATAAAATGGCCCAGAAGTTATTTATACTTTATTGATTTATTATAAATTAAAAGCTGGCTTTATTTATGCAATTAAAAATATATTTTTAGAGTTACATCAACATGGAGAGGCATCCAGCACACATGCGTCAGGTATGAAGTCATTCCAGAGTATTCTCTGGTATTCTCTTTTTCTTCCTTATCAGTCAACTAAATTTACCTTGATTAAACTTACTTGTTTGGTTTTTTTTTCCCACTCCCAAAACATAGAGCTGCATGCCATTGTCAAGTTATCCAGCTGACACATTTTAGCAATCTTAATATTGTTTGTATGCTTGCTTTTTAGATACTTCTAAAATTGTATATCAGGCCAAAAAAAAATTGGCTTACTGATTTTTTAGCATTAGTTTTTAGCTTTTTCAAGTTGTTGAAAATGTTCTCAATGCTTTCTATCACAATCATCTAATTTTAAATAACTAAATTTTGTCATATGTCCCCAAACTTAGTTATTTTTAAATTATTTTAGTATGCATCTATCATATTAATTTTTATCACACTAATAATATATGCACTTGTACTATTTGAATCTCCTGATTGGTTATAGTTATGGAAGTATAATAAACAAAATAGAGAAATAATATTGTTATTTTGACTAATTGTGTGCTTTCCTGCTTACTAAAGTATACCTGCTGATTAATACTGAGGCTGTTCTTTAGAAGATAAAATTTGAATTTCTGTAAATATGTGTGAAAAAAGTCTGTTTTTAAAAAGCAGTTGTCTGAACTTTCAAATGTTGAAAATGCTTAAATTAATTAGAATTCAAATTAAAGTGAACAAGAAAAATATCCCAGATAACTGACATACTTTTGTTAATAAAGCAGATTTAAAAGAAACATGTATATATAAATGAATTTAAATTGGAAAACAGTTAAAAGGCTTTTTCAATATTTGTCTTACAATTAATTTAGTGCTAATCATTTAAATATAAGTGACCATATAAATCAGAGCAAGTTAATTTTTAAAAACTATTTTTCATATTAGTTTTGGCCAGTGTAAATATGTTTGATTAAAAAAAATTACTAGGGATGAAAGTTGATTTTTTTTTTTAATTTTCTTTAAGATTACCAAATGTATTTCAGGTCTAACTTCACCACGAACTTTTATATTTTAACTTTTGTGTCAGGATCCCTTTACAAAGTCAGTCCTAATATATATGAAATATATGCCTTCAGTCAACTGCATACTTTATTTTAGGATATTAATTGAAAAGTAACATTAAAAATTATGCAGTATTGGTTGAAAAATCAAATAAAAATTTGGGGGAATGTAGAAAAATGTGGAATGGAATAATTGTCAAACTTTGCTGATTTAAGATTAATTAAAATACAATTTTAATATAGTACTAATGTTTAGTGTTTTTTTCTGATGCCAAATTATGTTACATCTTGATTTTTACTTGTGAGAGACAAATTCCTTATTTGAAGTACTAAGTACATGTCACTTACAATTAAATCACAGAGCTTTGAAAAGGAATTTAAAAATCCAGTGGCAAATAACTCATTTATAGTATTTTTCATTGTTATGTGTGTTTTAGGTATTTGTAAAGTGTCATTTTGATTATAACCCATACAATGATAACCTGATACCCTGCAAAGAAGCAGGATTGAAGTTTTCCAAAGGAGAAATTCTTCAGATTGTAAATAGAGAAGATCCAAACTGGTGGCAGGTTAGTATGCTTCTCAAATGTTCTTCAATTGCTTTTCTATTTTTAGTCTTAGATCTGGCCATTATCTGAATATTCAGGAGGAAGGTATTACCATTCCTTCCCTGATTTTTCCCACATGAACAGCTTCTGTCTCCTGGCTACTAATTTTTGGGGAAAAAAAAGAGCAAATTGCAAGAGAATTTGTGAGTAGCTATTAATCAATTCAGAATTCACCCACCTATGGTACAGTTCCACTGGTTTAGGGATTGGAGCAATTGGTTCTTTCACATGGGTGATTGCATTAAACTATGCTATGAGCAGGAAGAACTCACTTGGGGCCAACCCTTTTGTATAGTCCTGTCTTCTCCCTTTCTGTTTATGTTCATGGCAAGTATAGCATAATTTCTTAAGGTCTTAAATCTATTTGCTCACCTCTTCTCAGTTATTGAGAAATGAAGGTTTGCTATATTAGTTTTGTTTATGTCTTGGATTAAAATCTGTGAATAAAAAAAGAAATGTGTGTCATCACTATATTTTTCCCTTTCCTCATCTTCCATAAGATCTATGTGGTGATGTTATTTTTCCTTTCCTCTAATACTGCTTTCAGAAAGTTTTAGAAACAGTAATGAGTGTTTTTGTAATTGTATCAGCAAACAATTGCAGTCAAAATTGGAAAAACTGACAAATCAAAAAGTCTGGAAACTTTTTAACTGTCATGCCAAATGACTGTCTCATTAAAGAACATAGTATAAGAGGAAAGAACGTAGGACCAAACTAAAATTAACTGAAATACTGGTAACTTACATTAACTCTAAAACCATTTACAAGATAAGAATAGTCTTACTAATGTGTCCTATATTTAAATTTGAGATTTTGATTATGTATAAGTGTACTGTGTGATGAGAAAACCAAGAGATGGATAAAATTAAACAGAATCTATGATTTCTAGAGGTTTTCACTGAATGTCTTAAAATACTTATTTTTAAAATCTACTTTCTTTGGCTATGTCTTTTATTTTTCCATGTTTTTTTTCTATGAATGTCATCATTTATCTTTCTCTTCTAATACAGTCACCATTTTCTTAATCTTTTCCTGCATTTTGATAGTCTATTACTTTAATTTCCAGGGTTGCTAAAAATGATTTCAGGTTTTCTTTGCCAGTTGTAAGGATAAAGACAGTAACTGTGAAATAAACAATGTAGCCAAATCTTAGACTATTACTTAAAAATATCTTTTATTTTTATTTCAAATGTTTTGAAATTAGATGAAGTTTTACCTATTTTAAATTTACTACCTCTCAGAATATTCAAATTCCTGTATATTGTCTTCATTGACTTGGTCTCAGGAAATAACGTATAGCAGGATTATGATTAATAGTACATGTCTTACTAAAGGGTGCTGGATGAAATGTTCTCTTAACACATCTTACTATAATTGCCTTTTAGGATTTTTAGGTTTTTGTTTCTTTTGATGCTAGGGATGAAACCCAGGGCTTTGTGCATGCTGAACATATGCTTTACCACTGAGCCATAACCATAGTCCCTCATCCTGTATTATAGAACAGTATTTCTTTCCCTTCTTTGACTAATTTAATATTATGAACAAAAAGTGTTAATAATCGTAGAAGCCTGTATATCTTTGTATTTTGGTCTTAAAATTTCATCACCAAATAACATATATAAAGAATTTTAGGTACCAATCAATTCCGTAATGCTAATTAACCCAGTACCATGGATTTAAATCTAAAGGTTATTTTTTTTAAATGACATTATTTTTACTGACCACTGCTTATCCTACTTACTAGAATATGGTCTCAAATTTTGGTCACTGAGGTATACAATTCATTAATTTGATTCTAGGCTAGCCATGTGAAAGAGGGAGGAAGCGCTGGTCTCATTCCAAGCCAATTCCTGGAAGAGAAGAGAAAGGCATTTGTTAGAAGAGACTGGGACAATTCAGGTGATGAGCTCGAAACAATAAGTACAAACAGCCCTTTGTGCTCACCTTTCTTTGCCTCTTTTGTCTAAATAAGCAATGGCTTTATTTAAGTATATCTAGAATTAATTCCACCCATCTGCTTTATTTTCTCTCAAAATTAATCTTTTTAATCCCTTTCTGCCACCTACTGGTAGAGTATCAGAATTCAGTGGCTTAACTCACCCTTGCCCCCTTGAGCTTCCTAGGATGGGACATTAAGAAGATGAGTATCCCACTCTCATAAAATATCACAGAGCAGTTTTATCATATTCTGACATATTGTTTGCATTATATTGATCTTGTCATCCTTCCAGGACCTTTTTGTGGAACTATAAGTAGCAAAAAAAAGAAAAAAATGATGTATCTCACAACCAGAAATGCAGGTAGGTTTTAAATACTTTTCTTTCTAAGTCTAAAATAACTTATATCATTAATTACAGAATACGCTCTGAATATGTACTTTAAAGTGAATGTAATTTAGACTACTACCCACTTGCAAGGGTCTGGCTTGTGAACACATGGTACAATATAACAAAGGTTTTTTAAGTCCTTACCTGTATATACTAACTGATTTTTGTGAGTATAGTTGAAAAACCAAATGAATTGGTTAGCATATATGCAGGTATTAACCAATGGCAATGTTACAATTATTGAAACCATTTATTCAGAGAATTTTTAAATTATAATTTATGTGTTATTTCTAAAGGGCAGAATGCTTTTTGTTAAGATATTAAAAGAGTTAGATTAAGGACAACTATATTCTGCCATAACATTGTCCTTAAGACTTCTGGAAAAATAGCACTGGACCAAGCAAATCTTAGCTTAATTAGGTAGAATTCTTTCTTAAATCTTTTCAAAGAAAGAAATATCTTTAACAGGACAGAAAATGATAACCATGTGAGGTGATAGATACATTAATTAGCTAGGGGCACATGATCATCATTAATTAATTAGGATCATTTATGTGTCTCTACATCCAAACATCAAGTTGTAGAGTTTAAAATTACTGTCAGGTGTACCTCAATAAAGCATAAAGTTATTTTTATAAATAAGATCTCAGACCTGTATCGGGTACACCTTGCCTGTCTGAAAAAGAAAAAGAAGAAAGATAAATAATGGAAACTACATTATTTAGACTACTTTCTTGCCAGACATGATGGTACAATCCTGTAATCCCTGCTACTCAAGGAGACTGAAGCAGGAGTATCACAAGTCCATAGAGGCGTGGGCGATTAGCAAGACCTTGTCTCAATATAAAACAGGGCCGGGGATGTAGTTCAGTGGTAGAGCACTTTCCTAACATGAAAAGCACTGGGTTTGATCCTTAGCATCACAAAAATAAATAAATGAAGTATTTTCTTAACTTCAGTCCTACCCCTATACTGGTAGTAAACTAAAGTGTATACAATCAAAGAAATATTATAGGAAGAAGTAAGCTTTTTCTGTCCTAGTACTAGTGTAATCTACTTTGGAGAAATTGAATAAGGAAAGGTTGTTGAGATAATAACTTAAGTGTTATTACCATAGATTGGGAATTTTAGCAATAATGGTTCTATCAATAATGACAGGTAATATAATCATTCAAACTCACTTTGACCTTAATATTCATTAAATATGTGCCCCTAAAGCGTTTTTGAAAAATAGAAAATTTGTCCTTTTCCTCTTGACTAAGATGATGATTGGGATATATTAACTGAAAATAGTTTAGATCTAACTTTTTTTTATATACATAAATTTGAGGATCTTAATATTTAAATACCAGCATGTTGTTTATATGCATTTGGTATAGTATTTATTCATTTACTTCATTGGAAGGACATTCTCTTTACTCCTTCCTCCAAACTCAATATACCCTTTTTAGTGTAAATTTTACTGATCTATAATTTGCTTACTTGCACTAAAGAGTTGTTTCTACTGACAAATTGATTATAAAGAAACTTTAATGGATAGAATATTTGATAAATAAGTATGATAAAATTTTAAGAGCACATGCTTGGAAACAGATGTTTAAGTCAAGATATAAAATAATTTATTGTACTTTACCAATTTTTTTTTTAATCTGTGCTAAACAGGTTAACAATCAAGACAACAAAACCATCATTGGAAAGTATAGCAGATGATTTCTCATGTATAGGAAAGATAAGTAAATATAATGTTTTTCCATTTCCTTTTACATTTAGAATTTGATCGTCATGAAATTCAGATATACGAGGAAGTAGCTAAAATGCCTCCGTTCCAGAGAAAAACGCTAGTATTAATAGGAGCTCAAGGTGTGGGCCGAAGAAGTTTGAAAAACAGGTTCATAGTACTGAATCCCACTAGATTTGGAACTACAGTGCCATGTAAGTTTTCTTTGCTATTTATTTGTAGAAGACAGTATGAATACATGGATCTGGGGGGAATTATTAATTATTGTTACTTTCAAATAAATTTGGATTATGCCAGTGAAAATAAACTGGTAGTTGATACTTAAAAGCTTAGCAGTTCTTAAAATCATACTGTAGCAATTGACTTGCTGCTTGGTGGCAATTGTCTCTCCAAACTGTTCTGTTCAGAAAAGTTAGAGTTAAATGCAAGTGTTTACCGATTGAAGCAAAATTACATTAACTCAGTATTATACAACTGATATCTATCTGAAAAATTATATTTTTCAGCCACTGCAGTGTAAAGAAAAGGGGGAAGAGTCTTCTGGATTCTCAGGCACACTCAGGGTGGCAATAGCTTTGTGAATTTATGTGGTCTGTCTTATAGCTCTCAGTCCTGCAAGGTCATGGATCTGATTTCTGATAGCATATCAAAAGCAATTCATCCTTCATAGCAGCCAGCATTCATTAAGAACACAAAGATTAATATATAAAATAATACTGGTGAGAATAATAACCATTAAGTGAATCACTCACTCACTTTGTGATCTTTGTAATTTTCCCTCTTTTTGCATTGTATATTGACTTGGAAAGGAAAATAATGAGGTTTGAAGTAAACTTGGTGAGACTGGAATTAGATCTTAGAGTTGGATGATATCACTGACATTGTTATTATGACTATACATTTCTTTCTGTTTTAGAGATGCATGAACTATTGTTGTGGGAGCTTGTGAACTCTCTTCCCTGAAAAAGCAGGAGACAGGCCTGTGTTGCCTTTCTAACTGCTCTTTCTGTGCTGACTTTTTAACACAGTATTCCTTTTTTTTTTTTGGGGGGGGGGGATACTGGGAATTGAACACAGCGGTGCTCAATCACTGAGCCATATCCCTAGCTCCCTGGCCTTTTTTATTTTTTTTAAGTTGTAGATGGGTATAATTCTTTTTTAAAATTATTTTTTTAAACAATTGACAGTGGAATATATTACAATTCTTGTTACATATATAGAGCACAATTTTCCATATCTCTGGTTGAATATAAGGTATATTTATGTGGTGCCGAGAATCAAACCCAGTGCCCCATGCATTCAAGATAAGCACTCTGCCACTGAGCCACAACCCCAGCCCTTAATTCAGTATGCCTTTAGGTATATTAATGCCTTCAGGCCATTTTGAGTAGAATCTTAGTCTAAGATCACCACATATCTTTTAAATGAATTTTGGTTTCTCTGGTTTTATCCAGTATACTTTGCGATTTAATTCTCGGTGAATATTCTTATTGCTAAAATTTTTAGGGGGAAAAGGAGTAACCTTGTCATTGCCCTCATGTGCCACTGACAGTCCCTTCAAGATAAAAAACTTCGGATTCCATTATAGGCTGTGTAAACCACAAAATAAAGACAAATCCTAGTTACGTGGTTAACAAAATAAAATCTTCATTGTAACCAAAGTATTTTAAAACTGCAATTGTGGAATAAAGCTTATTCTTATCAAATTAATATGTGCATTATATATTAAACAAATAGTGCTTAAAGGCATACGATGGGAAAAATAACCCCATATTCCCTTACCCTGCCCATTTCTGGCCTACTTAACACATACATTCACTTTCCATTATTATTTTTATTATTATTGCTAATTTTTGTGGTAATTTTCCAAATTTCTTAGTAATATCTTTACTTTATTCTGCTATTTCCTACTTATCCGGTTTAGACGTTATCTACTGACTCCCTGATTACCCTTCTGATATAAAGATAGCTCTATTTTCAGTTCAATTTTACTTTGTTAAACAGTTTCTCTCCCTCCCACTATCCAGCAATTGCTTGAATTCTTTTTTTTTCCTACTCTTTTCCCCAGTTTATGTGCATGTATATTATGAGTTGTTGTTGTTTGAATGAAACTTATCCAATAAGTTTTTTTTTTTTTTTCCTTAAGACCTGACTCTGTCTGCAGTGAGGACTGTGTGTTCCAGCTGCCCCACTGTTCAAAAGTGGGTATTTCCCTATGTTGTTGACCTAAATTGAAGCTACTGCTCATGGATGCCTTTCTTTTTCTTACTTGGTTTTACTTGACCTTATTTTGCTGGGCCTTATCCTCTTGTAACTTCACAAGAAATGTTGTTTAAATTGTAATTTCTTCATCTTTGTATTTTAAGATATGTTTTCTGTCCTCTATTTGATTATTTAGCTGAAAGTTCTGGATTTTAAAAATCAAAAGATGTTACTCTTGAATCCAGTTCTATTGAAAAGTTCAATACAATTCTAATTCTTATTCTTCCCATACATTACCTGGTTTTTCTTTCACTGATATATTTATGTTTGTTTTACTTTATTGTTTCTTAAAGAATTCAAAAATTTAGTGATGATGTGCCTGGGTATACATCTTCAGTCTCTCCCTTTTTGAATCTATTGTTCACCCTTTTACCTTTTTATTCTTTTAAAGACTACTGTGATTACTTTTTCTTCTGTCAGTTGATTATCATAGTTGTGTTTTTCATCTTATGATTATTTTTTGTTTAGGGAGTGGTCCTCCCCCAACCCAGTACTATTTTTTTCTTCATTCCTTTTTTCCTCCCTTCTATCTCTTCTGTATCTTTAGGAATACCAAATAGATTAATTATTTTAAGATACTTTTATGGGCTAAATTAACTCTGTTTCCTCTGGGTTACTACTTCTGTTTATAGTATATCTGTGTTTTTCCTTTTATGTTAAAAGACTTTTTTCCTTCATGTACTGATCCTTGTTTGTAAGTCCAGACTTCAAAGTGAAGTGTGAAAAGTGACTGGAAACTCTGTGTACAGAGCAAGTCTTGACAACTGGCCAAGCGTTATTTTAGGGGACAGGCAAGGAGTCAGCTCTTTTATTGGAGAAGCCCATAATGTTGGTACAAGATATTTTTTCTTTGGAGTATTGAATTTCCCTAGAGAAGAATCTGCATATTATCTGTGAGAATAATCTCTAATTGATAAAGTTGGGGAGGGGGTTAGATATAGATCAACTCACTGCATATACTTAAATAAACCCCCTCAATTTTTAGTTTCTTGCCTTTAAGATCCAAGTCTCTTCAAGTTCTTTTGTCCCATTCTTATCCTTAATTCCCTTTCTTATCCTTAACTCCCTTTCCAGCACCATAGTTTGTGCCCTTGCAAAATCAGTTAACTGAGGTTAGTTTGAATGTGGTTTGATTTATGGTGTTCTGAGATTTACTTTTTTGCTTGTATTAGTTTCATTTTAGTTTCAAGGTTTATTTCCTTTAAAAATTTTTTTTTATCTTTTTAAGATTGTAAAAATCTTGCCTGTTGCAGTTCTTTGCCTTGCATGTCCAAGCACTCTCTCTTCAACATGGCCTATCTACAGAGTCTTTGGAGAGTGCCATATTATGCATTTTCCTTGCAAAAGTATTATAGTCTTCAACTATCCCTTGCAGTGTTGCCCCAAGTTTCTATGCCATGCCTCCCACAGTCAGCCCTTGATTGTTTCCAGGACACCCTTTCCCCTCCCTACCTCCTAATTCCAGGCACATACCAAAATCCACTCATGCTCAAGACCCTTATCTAAAAGGGCATAGTATTTCATATAACCTATTATATCCTTCTGAATACTTGAAATTCTCTTATAACTTAGATACAGTGAAAATGCTACATAAATAGTTGTCATATTATTATTGTTTAAGGACTAATGACAAGGAAAAAGAAAGTCTGTACATGATCAGTACAGATGGAGTTCGGTGTGGGGTTTTTTGTTTGTTTGTTTCCCCACCCAGGGCTGGTTGAATCTGCAGGTATAAAACTGGTGGGTACAGAGGGTTGGCTATATTATTTTTTCTTTTCCTTACCCTTTCTGTGCAGAGTACCTTCAGAACAGTTCAAGCATGATATCTTTTGGATGTGTATACACAGACATTAGCCTAGAGGAAAATCATTCTTACTTTTCGAGACAGTGGGAGTATAGGACTCCCACTACTACAACATGTCATCAAAGGCTTTCAGAATTCTCCTGGGAGGATAATTTTACTATGGGAAGAAGAAAAGAAACAACAACACAATCCCCTCTAACTGGAATGGCTACATCAAACACCTCAAGCTTGTAATTCATGCCTTTTTGCTCTTGTCAATTCCTGTATCTCCCAGACTTTTGAATTCAAGCTATGACTTCCCAAAGGCCTTCACTAACCATGCAACTTAAAGTAGTATCTCTCATACCTGGTGGTTGTGTAATAATACTTACATTCTTGTTATTTTATTACCTGTCTCCATGTTAAAAAATATTTCCCATGAGAACAGAGTCTTTTGGACTTCTTTTTACCTGGTATAAAGAATAAGATCTGGTACATAGTATATACCCAATAAATATTTCATGCATGAATAAATGAACATTATGTAAACTTTTTCTCAGGAGTCACTAAAACATCTATGCAAAGATTAATTCTACAACTCAGCAATATAACCAGATTCAGAAATGGGCAGAGGAATTCAATAGACTTTTTTGCAAAAGATATTAAAATGAATAGTGAACATATGAAAAAATGTTCAATGCCATTAATCATTAGGGACATGCAAATCAAAACCACAATGATGTACCACTTCATACCCATATATTTAATAATAGCCAGTGTTGATCAAGATGGGGAGATAAAGGAAACCTTGTACATTACTGGTAGATATGTAAAAATCATATACCTATGTGGAAAACAGTATAGCAATTCCTTTAAAAAGTAAGCATAGAATTACTGTATGATTCAGCTACTCCCAAAGAACTGAAATATGAATTTGCAATATATATTTGTATGCTAGTGTTCATAGCTGTAGTATGTACAATAGTTAAATAGAAAAATCCAAATATCCTTTTATAGATAAGTGAATAAACAAAATGTCATGTAAATATACAATAGAATATTCTTCAGCTTGAATGATAAAGGATTAAAATTCTGATACTTGGTAATATATGAATTAACCTTGAAAATATGCTGAGTGAAGTAAGCCAGGTACAAAAGGATAGATATTGTATGATTCCAGTTATAAATGAAGTACCTAGAATATGTCAAATAGAGACAGAAAGTGGAGTAGTGATTATTAGCTGCCCAGGGAGGTTATCACAGAGATTTTATTAGTTCTGTAAATGAATAGTGCTGGTGGTTACACAACAAGATAGAGGTTCTAATATTAACCACTGAATTGTGCACCTAAAGTGTTAAACTATGGCTCTTTTTGTATATTTTACACCACAAGGAATCTAAATAATTTTTTGTTGTAATAGTGTTTTAATATTCCAGCATCTAATTGCTACCATTCTATTTCATATGGATTTAGTAGGGGTGAAGGCATTTTTGTTACAAATAAGGTAATGATAAAATATAAATATGTAAATCTCAAATGTAAAATTCACAGATCAAAGAGTATATATATAAATGTTTCATCTTGATTTCCTAGTGCCAAATTAATTTCCGAGAAAGATTTACTATTACCTTTGGATAATCCTTATTTTTATACAGAAAATTTTATGTATATCCATACATATGTCAGTTCACTTTTTTTACATAATGTAGGTTTGTTTTACTCTTCTTTAAATTATTCACCTTGCTTTTGTAAAGCTTCAGAATAAACACTGAAAAGAAACACTGAGGGACTCCCAACTCCAGGGCCCCTTCTCTTTGGAGAAGTCTATTACTGTCACTTTTGCATTAAACCTGGGGTTTCTTGCTTTAAAAAAAAATGAAAAGAAAGAATGAAAACTGTGACAATATGATGTTTTGATACATGCATACATTGTGGGATGGTCACATCAAGGTAATTAACATATCCAGCCAATATTTATAATTTCCTTGTGGTCAGACTTTTTTTTCTATCTTTCTTTCTTTTTTTTTTTTTTTCATTGCTGGGGATCAAGCACTCCACCACTTACCACTGAGCTACAGCCCCAGTCCTGTTCAAAGTATTTAAAATCTTTTTTGTAGCTATTTTGAAATAAACAGTACATTATTAAGTGTGGTCATCTTTCTGTGCAGTGGAACACTAGAACTTGTTTCTCCTAACTATAACTTTATTAATCAAATGTTACCTTTGTCCCTACCCCAGCCTCTGGTAACCACTACTCTCTTCTCTACTTTTGTGAGTTTGACAGTTTTAGCTTCCAAATATGTCAGCTTATACAGTATTTTTCTCTCCATGGCTGGCTTATTTCACTTACCATAACATCCTCTGGGTTCATCTGTATTATTATAACTGACAGAATTTCCTGGGGTTTTTTTTCAGACCGAATAATATTTCATTGTATTTTTATACTATATTTTTTACCCAGTTGTCCATTGATGCACATTTAAGTTATTTCTGGATCTTGGCTATTATGAATAAGGCTATAATGAACATAGGAGTGCTGTATTTCTTTGACATACTAATTTCAATTGCTTCAGTAGTGAGATGGCTGGTTCTTGCCTGATTTTTGATATATAATATCCTTCTACACATTAGCAGGTGATATGGATGATATTTTATTAAAGTAGAAAAACATTGTTATTCCTGGGGAACAAACTACCTTATGAATCCTGCTCTTAACATTGACACCTTGAGTTTAGTTAACAAATTGTTTCTTTATTGTTTCCTTCCAAAATTTAGAATTTTACCTGCCACAGGAATTTACTTCTAAGAAATCACATTATTTAGTGGCTCATTACGTAGGCCTAACTAATCAGTTGTATTCAATTTTAATTTCTGTTTTAGAAATGGGGTATTTTAAAATGTGGTACTATAGAATTCATTTGGATTTTTTTGTTGTTGGTATTTTCAGTAAAGAATGGGTTATAGTTAAAAATCATTTGTAAACTAAATGACATATCTCCAAGAATTAAGATTCTCTCAACATGTTGGGAGAGGCCGTGAGTATATATGTGCCATATACATACTTATTTCAAGCAGCATATTTCCTTATATGGTTTCACTGTAGGACTTCACACACACACACACACATACACACACACACACACACACACACCTTACTCACTCACCAAAACAAAACAGTACTTTTCTAAAATTATGTTTGCAGCTATTGAACTAAGTCTTAATATGTATTTATTTGGTAAATTTAAAGTTACTTAGAAGTTTTGTTATATTGCCACCTTTGGTGAATAATTTCAGGAAGAGATCCATGATTTTTTTTTTAAAGATTTTTTGTGGTATGGACACAATATCTTTATTTATTTTCATGTGGTGCTGAGGATCAAACCCAGTGCCTCACATGTGCAAGGCAAGTGCTCTGCCACTGAGCTACAACCCCAGCCCGAGATCCATGATTTTGAATATGAAAATCCATCATCGCATTACTTATAACTAACTTTGGAATTTTGAAGATTCCAAAGTTAGTTATAAAGTACTCTCAACAGTGGTCTGGAATGACCACTCTAGAGGTTGAGACTGAAAATAACAGGAGATAAAAGGGAATCCTGTTGTACACAACAATCTCATTATAAATTAAACCCTTATTTTTGAGCTTGAGTTTGAAGTTTATTTTTTTCTTATGAAAGTTTTCTTGGTGTTTTATGCTTTGTCAGCTTTCTATTTTGATTACTTTTGTGTACTTAATGATTTGTTCAGTTATATATTTATAAGCTTTTATGGAAGTATTATTTTTATAATTGATTCTTCCAAGCTCAGATTAAGATTAAGCTTGAAATAATACACATAGAAATTACTTTTCTTCCTCAAAGCTAGTGTTTCATGAAGTTGTCAGAGTACGCCCTTTGCAACAGTTTGAAAGATGGTAATAGTTCATTCCTAGCACAAGGAGTTGTATGTCTCTGAAAATATCAGAATTCTAAAATATTATACAAAAGGATCCTCTACTTCTGAATTTTGACTTGTGTTATTCACTCTCATTCATTGGGGAGGGCAAAGTAGAAGAGATTTAGAGATCACAATAATAATGAGGTGGCTGTTCCACCTCTGATGTTGAAATAAAACATTCAACAATTGGGAATATCAGTAAACATGGAACAAAGAGAATTGGTTAGGCTTGAGGCAAGATAAAAAAAATAGGTAATTTGTGGATAGAACTATACTTCAGAAAATTGGTATGATCAACTAAGACTAGATGAACCTTGCTTGCCTTTTGGACACTCAACTAAGAAATGTTCAAGTGGAAAGGATGATTCTAACAGATTCTTTTAAAGGAAAAGGGAGAGCTGTCATCTGGAAAAGATGTTCACTTGCAACAAGCTTCACACTTTTAAGACTCAGCAGTAATTAAAAACTTGATTTAGGGCTCGCCTCTAGGCAAATATATTTTGAAATTTTAAATTGACTTTTAAAAGGACAGTTTTGATATGAATTTTATGTTGGTACTACCTCTTAAAACATTCCTTTTTCTCAAGGGTCAGCAAAAATTTTCTGTGCAAGGGTCATGTGGTAAAACCTTAGGCTTTCAGGCCATCAGTCTCTCTCAACTGCTTCATGTTTTAATGGGAAAGAAATCATGGATAATGAATGAGCCTGGCTATGACCCAATAAATCTTTATTTTCAAAAATTGCAAGTAAGTCAGATTTGGTCATAGGCACCTGCACTATATGGAAAAGTGAGAAGCTACCTGGTATATATTAGTCCGTTTTTTATACCCTACAGTTTCTTTGTACAAATAATTGATATTATTTTATTTAGTTACTTCACGGAAGCCACGGGAAGATGAAAAAGATGGCCAAGCATATAAATTTGTGTCACGATCAGAGATGGAAGCAGATATTAAAGCTGGAAAGTATTTGGAGCATGGGGAATATGAAGGAAACCTCTATGGAACCAAGATCGACTCTATTCTTGAAGTTGTCCAGACCGGAAGAACTTGCATTTTGGATGTCAACCCACAAGTGAGCAGCATGGTTTCCAAAGCTGTTTTAAAAGTTTTTATTTCCTGGGGAGTTTTTGTTTTATGTGTCTAGGGAGGCTGGTATTGTTTGTTTTGTCAGAGGTGGAAGATGGGTTGCTCTTTCACTCTGTTACATTTTGTTGGTAGAGAATCTTATTGTGTATCCATCACTAATTAAATAAATCTCTGATGAGTTAGCCACCAAAGGGTCAAATAAGGATAGAAATCATGTGATTAAATCTACAGAAGTTAGGTTTTGTTTATTTTCTCAAAATACACAAATGCATATGTTAGGAAATATTAAATTTTAAACTCAAGGCTGCAATACAAAGAATAAAAAACTGAAGTCCCTTCCCCTCCTTTCTATCTTATGTCTGTGTTTCTCTACACCATGCCCCATGTAGCGCAC